GCTCGAGGATGGACATGAAGTCCAGCGAGGCGATCTTGTCGAGCGAGTTCTGCAAGACCGGGGCGGCGTACTGCGCGCTCAGGACCCAGATGAAGACGCTGAGGGAGACGACTTCCGCAAGACGCTTGGCAACAAAGGTCCACCTGATGGTCGGGGTGCGCGGGTAGACGGGCTGGTAGACGAGGGTGGGCGCCCACCAGAAGTAGATCAGGTTGTTCATGGTGATGTTCTGCGGGTAGGGGCACTGCGCGTAGATTTCCGGGAGCGAGTCGAGCTCCCCTTTGACCGGGTGCAGGTAGGCGTGGCGGAGGTCCCGGTTGGTGAATGCGTACGAGGCGGTCTTGAGCCAGACGATGATGGCGTGCAGCTCGGTCAAAGTGCCAATCAGGGGGTGGTGGATGTTGAAGTAGACCACGAATGTGGTGAGGACCAGGGCGAGGGTGACGTTGATGGCATGGGCTAGCCAGATGAGACGCCAGGTCGACTGGAACTTTTTGTTCTCATCTACTGTTGGGCTTGATGTGCCGTCTCGCTTTTGAGACCTGATGCGTTGACGCTTTGCCTGTTGGGCGGCAGCGAGCTCGATGAGGTAGGCGGCGAATAGATGGCATGGAATGAGGAAATACAGCAATAATCCCAGGAAAAGGTCATGTTTGCGAAAGTCATGGCACTTGATACAAATCAAGACGCCGTACTAAAATACAGGGGTTAGCTCCATCGCCGCAGGTATGGGATCTTCTGTGTTTTGGGATATTTCAATCTCGCCTTCTGGATGTTCTCAATGACGAGACGCAGATTACCAACAACTGCATGGAATGATTAGTAAATCGCAACAAGATGTTTACTCAGGAAGGCTCTTGACAACTCAGAAAAGCTGCTCACCTAGAACTATCACCATGAGATTACGGAAGCCCAGAAAGCTGGGAGTGGCAGGGGCATCGTGACTGAGGGTTGATGGCCTCGTCTTGGAGTGAACGGCAGCGACATGACGGTATTTCTTTACGAAGGACTTCCTCAATTGCACCGTCCCTTCATCGACGACCCTGCCATTGCTTTGCGTGGTAGCAGTGTTGGACCTGTGGATCACGCCGTTGGTGTTGCCGTTAGCGTGGCTGGTGATGTCAGGTTGAACGCCCGTCACCGTGGCCGTGTTGTTCATCTCGGTGGCATCCGCGGGAGGCCACAGTATAGAATTAGGCGATTGGCTTTCTCGATAGGACAAGATGGCACAGGTAGATGGAGATAGGACAGACAGACAGACGCCTTGCCGACCAGAACTATAATTTCAGAGTTCTCACTGTCAGATGTCTCTGTCGTATCGTAGCGGGCCGAGAGTATGCGCCACTCAAGAAGAATGCCTTGGTATTCAGCAGGTTTGACGTATGTAGCGTAGCGAGGGTTTAGAGGGTTCATTAGCCTCGGGTCGGATCGGCCGAGATAACCTTGACCAGATTCCCACAATAACACGAGCTCCCGAGTTGACTGACCTCCTTATATAATGCCACGAAAAGACAATGGCGACGATCAAGGCCCAATCGAACGAAACGATGATTAAACACGACGCCTCAATTGCGCCAAAAGGGAGTTAAACTGCGTGGTCCATACATATATGCCTCGATTGGTATGACATGGCTGACATGGTAGAAGCGTGCTCGGCCAAGCAAAACCCCTCCAAACGCCTAGATTCAACGCCTAAGGGGGACCAGACATATCGTAGATAATCTCAATTGATTGATAAGAATTCCACAAACCACCTTGTCCACCTTGCAATGGAATGGGTACGAATATTTGAGCGAGTTCGAATGCTGGTTGGAGAGGCTCCTCAACGGTGCAACAGTGCAAGCCACCAACCACGCCAAGTCTCATGCAAGCAATATCAGCGCCCAATGGCTGCAAAGTTTAATGTTCACGTTGTGTGTTGTAGTAAGAAGGCCGGAGTCTACTCCGCTCCCGGTCTGAACCTTTGGGCCGGGAAAAGCCGCTCGAGCGCCAAAGCAGGTTGGCGGACACTGGCCGTGATTTCGACAGCTGGCGGACCTTTCAACCAAGTCTTGGCAAAGACGCTTGGGCCACCGCTTTCACCTCGCTTTGTCCATTCCATATCCGCGTACCCAGGCGCGACTGAATGAATATGAACATTTCAGAAAAGTCCTCATTATCACATCAGACAGTCGCGCTGGTATTTACAAACACAGTTGTAAACTCATTTGACAAAGTCAGCCATACTTGACTAAAGTTGTCAACCCATGCCGGCGACTTGCCGGTAGCGGCTGTGATGGCGTATGATGGTGGCCGAGACAAAGGCTTTGATGGAGGAGGCGGTGGTCATGGCTATGACGGCGGTCCTCCACGAGCGAGAGGAAGACGTGAGATGCCTCACTATACATAATGTGGTGGTTGTGACTGACTAGAGTCGTTTTTGCAGGCCCTGTCACAGACTATGGCGCAACTGTCGTCCACTGGATGCTCCATCGCGAGCCAAGATATAGAGGCTCATTCAAAGGAGAAGTCGAACGGCCCAGCCAAAGCTACATAGTTGATGTCAGTCCCTGCTTCTGGGATGCTGGCTGCGCCAATTACTGACGGGTGATTAGATGCTTCCGCCTCACGCGCGAGTGACCAGTCCTGCGGATTCTGTGCCCTCTCGTCACCTGCATTCATCATTAAACAAGATCAAACATCCCATCAATGTGGTCAAATGGACGCCAGAGGGCCGCAGGCTTCTGACAGCCTCCAGCAGTGGCGAATTCACGCTCTGGAATGGCACAGGGTTCAACTTTGAGACCATCATGCAGGCCCACGATGCTGCAATCCGGGCTCTAGCATACTCTCACAGCGACGATTGGCTAGTATCGGCAGATCATGATGGCATCATAAAATACTGGCAGCCAAATTTCAACAACGTCGAGAGTATCAGGGGCCATAACGATCCCATTCGCGACCTCGCTTTCAGCCCAACAGACTCCAAGTTTGTCACGGCTTCCGATGATTCGACTCTGAAGATCTTTGACTTTGCTGGCGGGAGTGCAGAGACGACACTGACCGGCCATGGCTGGGATGCCAAAAGCTGTGATTGGCACCCAACTAAGGGTCTCATCGTTTCGGGATCGAAGGACCATCTCGTCAAACTTTGGGATCCAAGGACTGGGCGGTGCCTGACGACTCTACATGGCCATAAAAACACAATCACCAAAACCTTGTTTGAACGTGTCCGCGGTATGTGCCTTGCGACGTCAGCAAGGGATCAAACGGCCAGAGTATTCGACTTGCGAATGATGAAGGATATATGTCTACTCAGGGGCCACGAGAAAGACATCTCCACGTTATCTTGGCATCCAGTGCACTCGAATCTCTTGAGTACTGGAGGCTCTGAAGGTTCTCTCTTCCACTACCTTCTAGACGAGCCAAACGCCCCGGCAGGTCATGCGTCAACTATAGCGCCATACGACAGCCCCGACCCATCCAACACTCCTGCACAGCCGATATACCCGGCTCACAAAGTGCCTTATGCCCACGACTTTGCCATCTGGTCACTAGACTGGCATCCACTAGGCCACATCTTAGCATCAGGATCAAACGATCGCATCACGCGGTTCTGGGCCAGAGCGAGGCCAGGCGAGGCCGATGGCGGCTTCAACGACAGATACCACATTGGCGAGGCAGAAGCGGAGGCGAGAGGCACCTGGGACCGGCGCGGCGGCCGCAGGCAACGTCAAGAGGAAGAAGAACAGGAAATGGAGGATGAGATGGACGGTCTCGTCGACCAGAAGATGCCTCTCAAACAGCCTGGTTCCGGTTTCGCCGCTATCCCCGGGCTACCGCTCCAGCAGGAACATCGACCCCTAAACGGCTCCATCCCTCCTCCGCCTATCATACCTGGAGTCGGCGCTACCCCAATTCCGCCGTTACCCTTCCCTCTACCGGGGCTCAACGGAGCTCCGCCACCCTTCGACCCGAACAACCCGCCAGATCTGGCTGCCATCGCCGAGATGATGAAGAAGGTGGGCCTGCCTCCTCCTCCGCCTCCAGGCTCTCTCCCGCCGGGCATGCTGCCGCCTGGGCTTGTCCCACCGCCGAACTTTGCCCTGCCTCCTGGGTTTCCTCCTCCACCTGTGCCTCCGACTGGGTACGACGATCCGTCTGAAGCGGCGGGTAACCGAAGACGGGCGCCCCTGCCTAGTCAGGAGGAGAGCCTGAGGGCTGAGATCAAGCATGGTCGGTATGATCGTGTTCGCTAGGAGAAATGGATTCGAGTTTCACTCTGAGATCATCCCAAACAAGATACGTCAGAATGTGGGCTTCCAGCCTGCGGATATGCAGCTCTCATGTCATCTACCTGTGGAAGGGAGTCGTCGCTACGACAGTGACTGATATCGGGAGATAAGGACCATAATTCGTCCGGTTTGCTGCAAAGGGTGTCGCGGGTGATCTACAAAACAGGAGTACGGCTGTGCGAAGCGGCGTTGTATGATATGACTTTGTGTATAAGGCATCTTGAAAGGTGCATATGTTGTCAAGACGTCGGGCGCCCTTCGGGCTAGTTACTGGACTGCAGTCTTGCTCAGCGGGATTTACCTTTAGAGCATTGGGCCCTCTACTCGCATCACTTGGTAGAGCAAAACTCCTAGCAATCACGATTCAAGTATCGATCACACGCCGGTGGTCATTACAGAATGTCCATGATGGCCCCCCGCAGGTATTCTCGTTGTCAACTGTGAAACACACTTGATCTGATCTAACAATGAAATCGACGCCGTCCCTATCCTGTGGTCTCTTGTTGCTTACCTCGACAGCTGGTCTTCCTCACCATTCCGTGTCGCCTAGCCCCTTACCCCCACGCTTCTTCTCGCATAGTTATTCCTCAATCAGCTCGAACTTGCCGTGCAATCTTCTCTTCCCTGTATCCGTAGGTAATCACACAGGACTCATGACTCGCGCAGTGCGCTCCACCTTTGCACCGCCGTTCCTCCTAAGCCGCCTTGACTGCTGTGGAAGTCACCGGGACCATGGCGCAGTTGGCTAGCGCGCAGGTCTCATACTATCAGTATGATCGAGCCGACAACACGGCACGAGCAATCCTGAGGTCGGGAGTTCGAGCCTCCCTGGTCCCACATCCTTTTGTTTTTCTGGTTGTCTTTGTCCATTTTCTCTTGCCCTTTGTCAGTCCTTCTTTTGGGTTTCGACTCGTTCATCGCACCGTGTCCCACAGTTTTTGAGTCCTCTGAGATTTCTTTCCTGTCTCATTTGACTGGACGATGTTGCTGGGCTGCTGTGGAGGCACATTCGTAACGACACTGGAAGACGGCGAATTGGCACGGCGAGTCATGCATAGACCTAGCCTGTTTGGCGCAGTGGTAGTCGCGTGTCACTTGTATCAAGCATCGTGCAAGATCATGACAAGGTCGTTCGTTCAATCCGGGCAACAGGCAGATAATTCCTTTTTGGCTCAGTCCGGTGGAGATTCGTAGGAAGACAGCAGCCCCGTGAAGTGTAATAATATCTTGACGCTGGCATGACTCAGTTTGATGTTAGTGAGTAATTGATAACCAAGCTGTAAGTTGAACAGGTAAATCAGCGGCAGTCGAGTTGAGTTGATGGCCTGCGTGAAATGAGTGCACAGAAAGATTATCAGGGGAGGACCAAGTTCAACGCAATGAGCATTGGCCGAGTTGCGAGCCAGATGATCTGCTAGCGCTGCCACGGTGAATACTTTGCATGTCCCTTCGAGCACATCATGCAAGGCTCAGAAGCCATGAGTGCCTCTTATAGGCCGCGGTTGACCCCGTGCAGAGGGTTTATGACCGACATTGTGGAAGAATCTTGAATTACTTACCTTCCACGGTCGGTTCTGTTTCCAAGGAGCGCGTACTCTGGCGAAAGCAAGTACTTCGTGCTCTGGAAACAGCCTCCGTACCATATGACGTAACGACTCAGCAACATGCAACAATAAGACAAAAGGGAAAGAGAGTACCCTCAGGGTATAGCTCGGCCAACTTACTTGACTTAATCCTTTGATTGGTGATTGTGTGACTAGTTCTGTGAACCAAGGCCAGTCACTCCTTATACCAAATGGAATTGCTGGGACCGAAGTGTCGAGGTTTTGTTACCAAACACAAAGGAACACAAAGGACATGTATCTGGGGCAGTCACACAAACTGAACACAAAATGCCTTTAAATTGATTATGTATAACTCCTTTTGAACAAAACACAGAGAGAAGGAAGGATCGAGTGGTGTTGCTGCTCTGCCAAGGTTCTCATGATGCCCCCGTAGGTGTTCTCTTTATCCGCGACCTTGCACAGCAGTTCAGGCAAATACTGCGTCATCTCAGCAAACCTTGTAAGGAAGAATGGCCTGGTCGTAGCGATTCCCCAGGGGTTCAAACAAAGCAGAGGCGAGGCTGACGCTGTCGGCCGATGTCAAGTCTACATATGACCACACTCAACACCCGTCCATCAATACAACCTATCCCCTCGTTCCTTTCTGATGACCCATCTCATAAATGACTGGCCAACGGCACAGAAGACGCAACGCCATATACTGATTCCCTCACAGCATCAATTTCAGACAGCATCTGATACGAGCGAGCAGGTCTCTAGTCACCATGAAGACGCCTCTACAGCTACTCCTCATCCTCCTCATCCCCACCATGTCTGTCCATGCCAGAGATTCAACCATAACCTGCGACGACTGCAAGCTCCAGACAGACGTCAAGTGGTGCCAGCGCTGTTACACAGCACCCACCCACTGCACCCTTAAATTCCCCCTCCCGTGCAGCGCGACGGTAGACGAGGTCTGTAACGGAGCCTTAGACAGCTGCATTAATTTCTCGGACGCTTAAGAAGCACGGATGAACAAGCGGTGTGGCAGAGGGAGTCGGGATTCACAACATCTGCTGCCCCCGAATCACAGGTATTAATCAATAGGCGCTGAGAAATTCAGGGGCCACATGCACATAAGCATCGGGCTACCCCTTTTCCCGCCTATCAGGTGATGCTGGGGATCGATAACATCGACGGTCCGTTTGGGGATTTGGGGTGTAGCTGTACGGGAGGTTACAACCTGCTGGCTAGATCTGGACTTGGAAGACATGATTCAGTATCGGGCTACGAGTCATGGAAGGAAAAGCAGCTGCATTGTCATCGCGGCGTGGAACGGACTCTTCGATCTCGACCAAGACTGACTCGGCACCTGGTATTTCAGCGAGCTTGCATGGTTCGGCCATGAACCTCCAGAATGGCAGCAGTGGGCAGCGGTCTTGGACACTGGTAAAGCCTTCATATCCTGTCTATCTTTGAAAGATCGAGGTATGGTATCAACATGTACTTGACTAGACGAACGGAAAATTAGAGCATCACTTCCGCCCCTCTAGCAACTCATTAGCCTTCAGCAAAGGGGAAAAAAAACAATGAGATGGGTTGTTGGTATGATCGTCACTCCTGCAATGCTCCCACCCCGCCAGCCCGTAAACAAAGCCGCACATCCATCCCAATGCTGCCCTGGGGTCCTTCGTGTACTTGACTCCGGTCGCTGTATGCTTCAATCTCAGGCCAACAAAGTAAAATCCGGAACCGCGCCGTTTTCCTGCCGCCATTGTCCTGCCTGCCTGCTCCAACAATCGGGTAAGTACAACGAATTGAGACCACCGCCATCTAAGCCGTTTACCTCCACATTAGCCATCTATACAAAGTAGTCCCGGACATATAAAGTTCTGGAAACATGATAGTTTATAAAACTCCATCGAATGTCGTAACTCCCGTCGATGCCAACGAAATAGATCCCGTTCAACCCAAACACACGGCTCGCTCGATCAGAACGCTCATCAAATCCATCCAAACCGCTTCCCTAGCACCAAAACGAGCACAACGCACCCCGCACCAAAGTCATTGCTCAGTCAGCAATATCTCAGTCAGCGCGATCCTCCATCTCGATATCCGTCCGGCCGGCCATCCCCGATTCCTCCCGACAACGTCGGCACATGCACCACCCGCCCAGCGCGCCAGCCGCCCACTCGCGCCGCTTCTGCACCGGCAGGTCGACGTCGCAGTAGTGGTTGAGGATCTCCTCGCCGGCCTTGATCCCGCCGGGCGCATCGCCCACGACCCTCCTCTCCCGCGCCCACATCCGCATGCGCCCGCCCCATTCCCACGTGACGTTGGGGTTGCAGTCGTGGTTCGCCAGGCACCAGAAGGGGTGCACGGCGGCCACGTCGGGCCGGCCGTCGCGCGGGTTCTGGCGCGAGGAAGCTGTGCCGCGGAACTTGGCGTAGGCGGTGTTGAAGACCCAGATGTCGTGTCTTGGCAGGGTGGTGTAGATGTCGATGTCCATCTTCTCGAGGATATGCAGCGGTATTTCTATGCTGTACCGGAAAGAAAACGGCAGGGTCCATTCCGGCGGCGGCCCGGCGTTTGGGGAGAGGTCGATGTCGTTGGCTCGCGATGGGATGAAATCGCCCCAAATGTATTTGACATGGTCTACATCCAGAGGATGTACGTCCTGGTGGGCTGACATGGCGAGTAGACGACCGAGGAGGAGGACATACAAGGATTCATCAATCTCGTTCCGATCCGGGTCCCTGGCAATGGAATCAATGTCCTTGTCGCAAACCGCCGGGTGGTAGAATTCCATCGCTTGCTGATAGCAGTACTCATCGCAAAACACGGTGTCGTGGCACGCTTCGCAGCTGACAGCTTGCGACCCAGATGCCAAGGGTGGAAGTTCGGATCCGCAGGCGTCACAGGTCGACTCTTTGTGGCGATTGTTAGCGGTCAAGAGGGAGTACTCGTTCAGGACGACCTCGCCGGCAGCAATATCTTCCCTCGCGAACAGCCCGAGTTGATTGCATGTCGGGATGATATCGTAACCATCGGTCTCGCTTTCCGAGTCGAGCAGCACCGGGAGGGCAGTCACACGAACCTCGCATTTTGGGGCGATGTCCTGGAGCTGTCGGTTGAGTAGAGATAGGGACTCACGAGAGAAACGGTCCGGGTCGTGGGTGTTCCAAGGATAGACTTCTCTACGTACTTTGCCTCGGTCTGGAAGGTCGCTGATGGTTAGCTCGGCGTCTGCAGCTTTGCCGAGCCGTTGCCTGGCAATCTTTTCTATATATCCCTTGGTTTCCAAGAGGTCCTTGTTTCCAGGCGCTGCTGCGAGTCCCCTCTCGCAGAAGTTATAGGCACTGCGCAGGCAGCCGATCAGGAGGAGACTCAAGGAAAGGATTTGATAACAGCGAGTAGATGCCAGGGCGACGAGCTCATGTGATTGCTCGGATCCGGAGGGTTCAGTGCCATTGATTTGCGTCGAAGAGCCGTTGGACAGACTTCCATGAAGGAGGATAGCCGGCGGTGGTGAAGAGGAGTATCTTTCTAGCGCTTCACTAGCTTGTTTGTGATACTCGAAGTCTTCCTCACGGACCTCGTCCGTGAGCAGAAGAGCTCGGTAGGCATCTCCGGCTGCAAGGTCCGGGTAACCAAGGTCCGAGTAGACGAGCGCTCGTTCCAGGTAGAGGATGAGGTCGTAGGGTGACTCGGCCAGCGCATCTGTTAGTTGTTGGCGGGTGTCGAGGAGAAGGAGGGTGCGATTGTCGCTTCCGTCAGACACAGAGGTGTCTTCCATGGCAGAGATGGAGGAGGAGGGCATGGGCCAATGTTAAGTGACAGGACTGAGTGGGACACGGAGGGTTGGAAGATCTGCCGCAGCTGGATCTCGATCGACGCCTGTATCATGGCCCGGCTCAGATTTTAAGACCGGTCTAGAAAGCCAGACTGCCCTCGACGGTGCAGTCAGGTTGCATATATATCTGGGAAATTTGGAGTTGCAAGCTTGTTTGGGGACCCGTGGCTTGTGGCTTGTGGGTTGGTCAGGGTACAGGTACCTGCAGGTCTAGGTACGTGTACTTGGCAAGACCGTAGCAGTATGGAGAAGATGTGAGGGGACCTTGCTTTGCTGGCAAGGACCAAGTGTGCACCAAGTGTGCAACTTATGGAGGAGTGAATGGACAGAGAGACTGGGACCCTGTGTGGCTTGGATGTTATCTGTGCAAATGTTGCTGCACAGGATGGTGCCAAGAACAGAACAGGACCCTTTCGGTGGTCCCTGTGCTTCTTGCAGAT